TAGACAGATATACGGAAAAAAAAAACTTCTGAGCAGAATAGAACCTGCTCTGATACCAAGAAGAAAATTGGTATTTATAAAAAAATAAAAGTAAAGAATGAACTAATGGAGTGAGGGACTATATTTCTATTTTCTGGATGAATAAAATACATGAGATGCTTTTTATAGGCCTTGTCTACCAATATGATAATCATGTAAACTAAATATTTTTATTTAAGTGACAAATATAAATAGTTGGTCACTAGAAGTAACCAACTAGATTAAAACTAATCTAAGACTTCCATCTTTTTTATACTTTATCTTTTAACAAAATTAAGCAGTGTTTTATTATATTTTTGTTGTACTGTTTTAGATTAACAATGTCGATTATTTCTCTGTAATAGAGTAAAAATTAAATTTTCATACATAGTAGATTATTCATTTGCTAGTTATACTGCCCAAAAAAGAAAAAAAAAATCGTAGTTTTTGAGCTAATACTAGCCAGTTCCCAACATTACAAACGATCACCTACTGGCTAGATGCTACAAATTAATAGCTAATGATGGTGATACTAAACAAATTAATTAGTACTACTTTGCTTTTGAAGGTTAGAAATCTTGCCGACAAATTTATTATGCCCAACAGAAAACGTCAACGTCTCTCCTGGCTTCAAAATTATGGGAGACTATGCAGGTTTAATTTGGTCAATTTTAAGTTTACTTTTGTTTTACATTTTGCACAATTTTGTAATGACTCCTTTATTGTTTTCGATGCGCCATTTAGACATTTTCAATTCATTTTTTTTTTAATTTCTAATGTAACAATGAAAATAATAAAATGTTTAGGGGCATGTTGTCGTTGACCAACCTAGACTAATCAATTAGTACTTTTTTCTACCAATTAACCGCGGATCATAAAGTTTTATAAATGGCTAGTAAGAAGTGATAGATCTATATGTATGTTACACTAGTTGCAGTAACATTGCAACGTATAATGTTGGTAAAAATAAAGATTTTTAGCGAACATTATACATATCATATTCGTTTTAAAATAATTATTTCGATTTTGAGTACAAGGACAACATACAAAAAAAGAAACCATTCTTTTAATAAAGGGAGAAAAACAGAACAATCATTTTTTGTGATGAAAGTTTTTTTTTTTTTTTTTCCTTAAAACAAAAGTTAAAGCTAAGCACTATTTATAGTACGACACTTTGGCAAGCACTGAAATTAAAGCTGCATGAGTCAGAATCAGCAGATCCGGGCGACGGTTATTTTTTATGGTACTTCAACAACTTCCCAGAAAGATAGAAAAGAAAAAAAATAAAATTTACAAGTGACAAAATCGAACTTTTAAATTCTGTCTGAACCTAAGAAAGATGTACTGCTAAGATCTGGTACAATTAATACCATAACAACTTACAACCAAATTCAGTTCTGGATTGGCTGGAATCAGGATGAAAATGAGTACCTCCCAAAATCAGTTCATACTTATTTAATTAATACCTATTTTCGTCCCAAAATAATTATTGTATATTCCCTCCGATCCTTAATACAAGACATTTTAATTTGTACTAGATTTTATTTAGTACGCACTTTTAATTGACGAAAAAAACCTTAAAAATAATTCATAACAATCAAGAGAACACAACGAATGTGAAAAATATATTTTTAAGATTTTCTCGTGAATTAAAAATAAGTACTAAATGAAACTTAGAACAAATTAAAATGTTCTATATTAAGGATGAGAGGCAGTAGTACTAGCAATATAAGCAAGCATCCTATGAACACTGACTGTCGGTGTGACAAACGGTCACACAAATGACAACCCAAAGGAATAATTATTGGAAGAGGGGGAAAAAAAAAGAATTAATTAAAAAAAAAGAAGCATTCATATCTTTTTTCCAGCTTCCAAAAATAATTTATTTAGTGCTTTGAAGTGAAGACCCCTTTGACCGAGCGAGAGATGGTACTCAATGCCATGTGATGTATTTAGTGCTTCCTCCATTTTCTCCTTTTCAAACCTGAATTTTCTTTCTTTTGTCTTGCAAATTGACAAATTTAACTCGGTGTAATCTGCCCATCTCAAACAATCATTTTTACACCTTTGTAAGATCTTATATAATATTTAGTCACTTCTTTATAAACAACTAGATAACAAAAATGGGTCGGAACCATAAAAAAATAAAATAAATTCTCGATCTTTGGTTTGGCTTCGTTACAAATTTCATTTCAAAATAAAAATTAATTGGAAACATCTTCTATCCACATATGAACGTAAACCCCGATTTCCAAAAAAAAAAAAAAAAGAAAAAAAAAGAGAGAGAGGTTTGGGCAATTAAGACTTTAAAAAAAAAAGTTGTTTAAGTGGTTAGCCTTATGTAACTAATATTCCTTGTTACTTTGAATATATTTACAGTTTTAATTAATCTCAAATTTAGAAATTAGTAAGAGAAAATTTTATCAAAATTGACCGATAAAATTTATTTAAAATACTAGAAGTATAATTGAGAAGACCCAGAAAAAGGGACAATGGATCAAAACAAAGTAGGATGTCATTATCAATCAGGCATCTTTTACACTCTCTTTGTCCTCTAGTTTCTAAATTTAAGTATTATATGCATAACCACAACAAAATTATGATATCGTAATTAATTCAATAAAATATAATTTGATCAACCATCGATATTCTTCTGTTACGTATTCAAGTATATTAATGTAATTATCATCGTTATTCTGAATTCTACTTTTATTAAATTTTATTCCCATCGTGAGAAAGGCAGAAAGCGATAAAAAAATTCTTAAGGGCGCCACGCCATAAAATCACAAATAACAAAGAAAAAAAAAGAACATTTTAACAAAGGGGGAGAGAAGGATAGGCATTAATTAATGTAAATTTATTTCGGTAATCCTTATTCATAGTGACGGATTCGACATTAATTACCTTCAAAAAATCGGATTTGTGAGCTCAACATTATTATCAATTATTGAATCCTCAACCAAAATCTTATTTTGGTTCACCGTTTAGCTAAAACTAAAAGTAACTGAAAAGATGTCGGAATCTCAAAGAAATCGTGGAGAAAAATTAAAATGATACTCCTTCATTCTTAAAACCATTGGCTTGTTTGTCATATTAATTTGGAACAAAAAATAACTAATTATTGATTATTTGCAGTTTTAAGAAGACGTACGATTGTGATACATTGTCATTGACATTTTCAAAAGTTATTACGTAGTTTTGATTATTGCAAATAGTATATTCTGAATTATTGTATTTACTATTCCATTAACTAAAAATGTGTTGATCACACTTCTATTCAAAAACATCCTTCAACAATGGCTTGGAAATTGTCGTTAAGCACCTGTTTTAGTATGAAGTTGGACATGTGACAAACTTGCTAGTGAAAATGATAGTAATTACATAGAAAACAATCAAACATTTAACTTCTAAAAATAGTCTATAAACATTAATCGATTGAATAACGCGCTATCTAGGGACGGGACCAGGGGAGTGCAAAGGGGGTCGACCGCCCCTGTGGTCGGCAATTTTTTCCAAAAAAAATATTTTATATTCCTTACGTCCCATAATTATTGTCCAATTTGAATTTTCATTTTTAGTTTAAATTGTACTAAAAGTGAAATTTCAAACTGGACAATAATTTTAGGACAGAAAGAGTAAATTTTAAAATATTTTGAAAAAAAAAATTTCTATATGTACTCGATCCTGTAAATATTCGAGGTTAGTTTCGTAACTGCGCTATTAATTCTTTATGAAGTTCAGAATTTCAGGGTAAGTAAAACATCTCCCAATCGTACTGGATCAGTTATCAAACAAAAAGAATGTATGGATAAAAAGTAAAATTTGTAAAGACGAACGTAGAATTTGATAAGAGTTTTGGTTGCATATTGTTTTTTGTTTTGTGTATATAAGAGCAGTGTTCCCATTAGTACACGTGTGTTTCACATGGTTTTAGTGATTTTCTGCTCTTTTTACCCATCGAAACTATAGCTGGCATTTTTTATCATTACATAATATGTAATTTTATAGTAGTATAAGATGATGGACCAGTCTCCATAGTAATTCTTTTTTTGTAAGGAAAATAAAATAATCCAATGCTCATTCCACTAATTCCTTCCATTTTGTAGACATATGGAAGCTTGTTATTTTAAAATTAATTATTTATAAAATTAAAATACAAAAAAAGAAAGTGGCCTCCAACCAACACCAGCCCATCTTTTTTCCTTTGTCCCTCCCTTTGGCTTTAGGACCTGTTTGGTTTCAATCAATATGGATAGAAGAAAAAAAAAAAAACTTTAGCCAAAAACAATAGGCAACAAGAATTCTATTTATGAAACAAAAAAAATATTTGTGTGGACTCATTTCCTATGATTTTGCAAAGATAATTTACCAAGAGGTAGTCCTTCTGTCCTACAATTATTATCCAGTTTGGATTTTTTTTTAATTTTAATTCAACTTATGCCAAAAATAAAAATTCAAACTGGACAATAATATCGGGACAGAGAGACTTTTCTATTTGTATATATATGGTGTTACATTTTTACTAAATTTATATTATCTCTTATCTGATGGAAGTAATAGTAAACTTATTTTAACACCCTCAACCCAACTAATTATTAGATGAAACAAGTCTACTCACATAATCCAACTTCTAAAAATTGATTAGTTGTAGTAAACTCGAACTCTTATTTTGTGACAGATGAAGTATCCTGCATACAGACTTCATTTTCTAGTCTAGAAAAACAACTTACACAAAAGAAGTAATTAAGGGCAACCAAACACGCCCTTAGTCCATCCCGTTCGCCTTTGTCTCTTTATATCCCTTCGTCTCCACACTCTTCCAAGTTCAGGGGTCCCAAAACAATCAAAACCTCTGAACAAAAGAAAAAGACTCCCTCAATTTATCAACATTTCCAAAACCAAAAATTTACAAATCATTTTTTTTTCCCCTTGAATTTGATTTGGATTGTTTTTCAGATAGAGCTCAAGAAATTCAAAGCTGAATGCAGTACTACACAACATCAGCAATGGCGGCTTCTTCATCACCACCAGATTTGAGCAAAACCACCAAGCTGGAAAGGTACAACAGCTACATCCGGCGAGTTAACAGCACGAAGCTCTTAGCCGCGTCCTCCAAGCTCCTCTTCCGCGCCACCCTCTTCGCCGCCGTAATCCTCCTCCTCTTCTTCACTCTAAACTCGCCCCCACTCTCCGCCGACAACAACAGCGGCAGCCACCACGGTCACATCCACACCACCAGCAACTTCCTCTCCTCCGCCTTCTACGGCAGCGGAGCCGCCTGGGAGAAGCAAGTCCGCCACTCCTCCACCCCGCGCCGCCCCAACGGGCTCTCCGTCCTGGTCACCGGCGCCGCCGGATTCGTCGGGACCCACTGCTCCTTAGCTCTCAAGAAGCGAGGCGACGGCGTTTTGGGGTTGGACAACTTCAATTCCTACTACGATCCGTCGTTGAAACGGGCGAGACAAAGCTTGTTGACCAAGCATCAAATCTTCATCGTGGAAGGGGACTTAAACGACGCCGAATTGCTCAAGAAGCTCTTCGACATTGTCCCGTTCACACACATCTTACACCTCGCCGCACAAGCCGGCGTGAGATACGCGATGAAGAATCCCTTGTCCTATGTGAATTCCAACATTGCCGGCTTTGTGAACCTCTTGGAGGTTGCGAAAAATGCGGATCCCCAGCCGGCGATCGTGTGGGCCTCGTCCAGCTCGGTTTACGGGCTCAACACCAACGTCCCGTTCTCCGAGGAACACCGGACCGACCAACCCGCCAGCCTGTACGCCGCCACGAAAAAGGCCGGGGAGGAAATAGCCCACACTTATAACCACATCTATGGGCTTTCGTTAACCGGGCTGAGATTCTTCACCGTTTACGGCCCATGGGGAAGGCCCGACATGGCGTACTTCTTCTTCACCAAGGATATCCTCCAGGGGAAGCCAATCAACGTGTACGTCACGCAGGACGACAAGGAGGTGGCGCGTGACTTCACGTACATCGACGACATCGTGAAGGGCTGCGTCGGGGCGCTGGACACGGCGGAGAAGAGCACCGGGAGCGGCGGGAAGAAACGTGGGCCGGCCCAGTTGAGGGTGTACAACCTGGGCAACACCTCCCCGGTGTCGGTGGTCAAGTTGGTGTCCATTTTGGAGAATTTGTTGGGCGTCAAGGCTAAAAAGAATGTCATCAAGATGCCACGAAACGGCGACGTTCCTTACACGCACGCCAACGTCAGCCTGGCCTATAAGGACTTTGGGTACAAGCCCACCACGGATTTGTCGACGGGGTTAAGGAAATTCGCGAAATGGTACACAAGTTATTATGGCATCCAATCCAAGGTGAAGGAATCAACCAATGAGAAGAATGATGATTCATAAAAAAAAAAACTTCATGGTACTTTTTCTTTCCCCCTCCCAATTTTTCTAAAAATTACAGTTTCATTTTCATCCCACTTTTTTTTTCCCTTGATGTTGTATTTTGGGTAAATTTGATGTTATAGTGTTGTTGTTTGTATTTTTAGTATAGGAATAGGGTTTTAAATTTTATGTTATACAAGTGAAAAGAAACCGAAAGACGGTGAAATTCATACAGGACAGTGAAGAAGGATAGCAACTGTAAATTATGGAAAAGTTGTGTGGTGTAATGTAATAATACATGTTTTTCGGTGGATTATTGATGGATTTGGGCAACAAATTCATCTTCAAGAAATTGTATTCGTAATTTTCCATTTAAAGAAGAAAGAAACAAATGATCAAGGAAGTTCAATGAAATGATGATATCAAGATATTCTTCATGATTATGTTCATGTTATGCAGCTCTCTTTTTATTTTATTAATTTGCTCCTTTGTTTCCATTTATTATCTTTTTCAACAAATTAAAAAAAAAAGTGGGGAGCAGGACCATTTATTGTCTCATTTTTTTTTTCAGTATTTTTTTAATGCAAGTGGATTGATCTTTAATACCCTTTTCCAGATGCCTTATATGATTGAAAATTTTAAGATACTGTCAATTTTATGACGATTTAATCAGGTCAATTGATCAAAATCAGATGCAATGCAGATTACTAAATTAGATACTGTGAAGGCTGATTATTTTAATTTTCTCTCTTAATGATGAGAAAACCAAAACTAGATGAGTCATCGGGCGTCGGTGATTAACCCCACATAATAGCTTGTTGAAAAAGAGTTCATTACAAAAAATTAAATTAGTTTCGGGTTAATTTAGTTTGATTAAGACATCTGGGCATTTTACACAACTTCATATCCACACGAAATAATTTAAACTAAACAAAGGAATATCCCAAATCCCAAATCCACCTTTAAACCTCATGATATCTTACCACTGATCAGTCTTTGTGCTCTCAGCAACACTTGGAGTGGGAGGGTTTAATTCTTTGGGCAAATTAAGTCTTTCCACAGCTTCCAAAAGTGGCTTTCTTTAATTATTCTTTGAATCAAGGTCGTTTTCAATCTAATTAAGCTCCCACGATATCTTTAAGTTGTAATGAATAGGGTTGTTTTTGGTGTTTGATGGTATTCATAACGAACATGACTTAGAGACGTGTTCGATATTTGATCTGATAATAGCTAGATATTATGCTATTTATCATTTATTTATGGTTTAAACCTTTATAAATAGGATTCAAATCGATTACTTATTAATGATTTCAAATATTGTTGGACTCTTTTTTTTTTTTCCTTTCAATAGTGAACTTTTGAGTTTTTTTTTTTCTCTCAATAAAAATTAAATAGATATCAGTAGTAGACATATATAGATTTCCTAAGGTTTTGAGATGGTAAGAATAAAATCTAGTTCTAGCTTTAATATTAGGGTTATACAGTAATTAAGACAGAAACAAAATGGAAAGACCATGTGCATTTTCCATAAAATATGTCTAATTTGTCTTCAAAAGAATGCACATGAATTCGTGATCGTCATGTGGAATTTAGATTGATGTGTCTCCATTATGACTTCAATTATGCTAATTCGGCAACACACGATAAAATTCAATTTTGAACTTTGATTTATGAAATTAAAACTCACTAAAACTCTCTGATATGTCGTGTCCAAAAGATAATATGTTCTATTCTGTTTATCTCAAAATGGTTGTTTTGTTCGTCATACAAATATTATAAATATGATGATTATTTTAGGACGAAAAATGTAACATACTAGAGTACCGGATGATTGGTGTAATGAATTAACCCTTGAAAAGGATGCGATCATGCTGCTACTGTCTTACACTAAATTGGCCGGACAAGGGTAGTTAATACTACTTGTTCGCAAAAGAATTAGGTCCAGACTCCCAACAATGGCTTCCGAGTTCTTCGATTTTTCTTACTCGTCTCTAATGTCAATAATATTGATTCGTCTCAAAATAAAATATAATTTGCTGAATTACTTTAATATACTGAATTGGGATGATTCCAATTTCCAAAACATTCATAGTTAATTGAAACTTTATATATAGCGACGTAATTAAAAGCTCAGTTTAATTACGAACCCAACATTAATAAAAGTCAGTCTTTCTCCTTTCTGCTTGGTTTAGACAACATAAAGAACTGCATCCAAAAACCGCAAAAAAAATAAAAAAATAAAAAAAATAATAATAATAAAAAAAAAATTGATAATGCACCAGGATTAAAGTGCTTTAGAGTTTAGGGAGGACAACACCAAAATTTCTATGAATGAAGAAATGGAGCGACTTGAGCCAACCGCGGAGACAAATGTCTTCCCTTCATGATTTTCTTTTTCCCCAACAAAGAAGGATATACATTTGGTACAACTTTAAATTTTATTTTTTTTTTATAATCTCAAATAAAATTTTAATCATTTCGCTCTTTCAACCGAAAAATCCTTGCTCCATGCTGACTGACTTTATTTCACAAAATGATAAAATTTGCAAATTTCTATAATCTCTAGAAACGGTTTATATTCATAACTTACTACAAACAAATGGAACATTACATGAACATAAAAAAGAGAAAGAAACGAAGCAGCTCGAGATTATTCCATCATGACAAATGACACAGTATTCTCTTCTAACTAATAAAATTATCTTGCAACAAATAAGTCGATCAATTCTTTAATTAGTTTATGGTACTTTTACGCAACATACATCATAGACAAGAGTGGCTCATTTTCAAACACACTTTTTTTTTTTTTTTTTGAAAATTTCATTGACATTTTTTATACACGGTTGATAGATTATTGATAATTGAGAGACGCAATGGAATATTCATAAGTCTATAAATAATGGCGGGGAAAAAAGAAGAACTTTCACAAAATAATTTAATTAGAAAGGTTGTACTCTAACAGCTTTCCTTAAAAGTATAGTATAATAGACAATTTAACATACTAGTGGATTTCTGGAGAAGCCGTGTTCCTGACTATCTGTGATTTCAATTTAATTTAAATTACGTCAAAAGGGGCTGAACAAAGTCAAATGGAATTACAATAATTTGTCAAAATTATGCTGTCATGAAGATGAAGTAATGTGCATCTGTAATCAACCTCCTAATAATGGCCATACTCCCTCCGTCTCAAATATTGTAAAACAGTACAAAGAATAAAATTCTTTATTTAGAAACGGAAAAAAAAATGACTATTCTTATTTAATGTTTGATTATTCAAACATTAATCAAAATGTTAATCTCTCATTTCATCCCCCGAAATTCAGAAAAAATAGTCTCGACAAAATGTGTTTTTGACAAAAAAAAAAAAAAATGTCACCGTTTTTATCATCCTTTTAGAGTTCGGACATGATGCCCCGTCTAGTTGATGGATGATTGTTCGTTATTCATTAATTCTGTTAAAAATGTCAAATGACATCGTGTCGGTGCCGTGGCGAGAATATATCGAAATTGGTCAGAAATGATTTTCTTTTCATATTTTAATTATGAAAATCTCGATGTTGACTTGTCAACGAAGCTGCGTGTAAGAGTAGCTGTTTTTTCTTTCTTTTGTCTTAAATGATGCTTAGTACAAATTGTTACGTTAAGTACAAAGTAACATGCATCCCTGTTGCCTTCAATTAGGAAAAAAAAAAACATAAAAATACTTGTTGGTCTTGTTTTGGTTTTTGTTCATTAACACGGTTAATCATTCTTTTGTTTTGTTCTTTTGAAACGGGTGTGGTTAATCATTCGATTGGACGAAGCCTAACTTCTGAAATACTTCGTCCACAATTGTGTCCCATAAAAAATCCACGGATTACAATTTATGAAAATAATATAAATCAGAAAATATAATATGAATTAATTTTCTTGGACAGAAAGAGTAATACTAATTTTAATTCGTTGGGAGCACCAAAGAAAAAATGGTATTTGAACTCGCGCGTTTGTGATTTCAGATTATTGATTGTTTTTAGAGTATTGATCCACTATAATTCTCAACATTTATAGGGAAGTTCTTAGTTATTGCAACGTTGGTCATGACTCTCATTTAATCCTCAAAAAGTAGCAACGTGACTATGATCAACGAAGAAAGAAAAGTTACATTATAAAGAGATAGACCAACAGGTCTCGACATCAACTTACAGAGAGGTATTAAAAATAAAAAGTACAAAAAAAAAAAAAAACAAAAACAAAGAAACATCGATCATCATCATCATCATCATTGCCATGGTTAATCCCTTCATACAGTGTGAATCAAGGATTTTCCAATTTGCCTAAACCCCGATCCACGTCGCCGACGGCATCAAGTCGGGCCGAAGACAACCAGCGGAATATTCCTTTCGATCCTTATTATAAGATATTTTGAGGCATTTTGATTTTGTCCCAAGTTTCATTTAAAATGTCTTTTTAATTGAAATAAAAACCTTAAAAATATGTCATAATAATTAGGAAAATACAACGAATATGAAAATATATTTTTAAGGTTTTTTTTCTAATTAAAAAGACATCTTAAGTTAAATTTAGGACGAAATCAAAATGCCTTATAATAAGGACCGGAGGGAGTATGTTAGAAGCAATGTGTTGAGACAAAGAATCACATATCAGTGTCGTGAAGGATCCGTCACCTGTTTATAAGCTCCAAAGACCATCCCACTCATTGCCAATTAGTTTTTTGGTGGAACTCCATAGACTTTTATATTGTATCAGAGACTACGATCTGTGAACCTGTGATAACTATGGACACACGTGTGCGGGCTTGGACCCGTATGCCTTGGACTTGCATCAATCGCTTCCGTGCGCACATGTGGGCTTGTGGACTGATCCGGTAGTATATCCGGAGTATGTACCCGTGTGTACGGGCTTGTTGATTGACCCAGCAATATATCTAGTGAATTAGGTTGTATTGTGCAACCCCAGTAGGCCAAATACCCTATTGGACTTGAGGGAGGGTGTTGGGACAAAGAATCCCACATCAGTGTCGTGAAGGATCTGTCACCTGTTTATAAGCTCCAAAGGTCATCCCACTCATTTTCTATTAGTTTTTAGGTGGAACCCCATGGACTTCATGTCAAAGTCACCTTGGGCTCCACAGTTAAAACCAATTGGCAATGAGTGGGATAGGCTTTGGAGCTTATAAACAGGTGATAGATCATTCACGACACCGATGTGAGATTCTTTGTCCTAACACAATGTTCTTAAATGAATCAGGTTCAAAACTCAAAACATTGTTAACTAACCTTTCACCAGTGTTGTAGTCGGGCCGAAGTCTCCCCTCTTTTGTACCGGCAACTAGATGATGTATCTGACTACTGAGAAGAAGAAAAAGGAAGAAAAGACTTAGAGTCAACCATTTCAAAAGTTTAGGGTTTGTTTGGCTAACATTTTGTTTTAGTTTTTGTTTTGGTTTTTGGTTTGAGATGCGATTTAAAATGTGGTTTGAGATAAAATTTTAAAAATTGTTTGGGTAATATTTTAAATAAATTAATAATATTTTTAGGCCACCATCGGATCATCTCCACCGCCACCGCCGCCGGACCGCTTCCGACCGGCGACCGGTCGACTGGATTCCGGCCAACTCGCCGGAATTTGGCCGGAATCCGGCCGGGCGGTCGCCGGCTAGTGGTGGCGGCGACAGTGGTGGACGTGATCTGCTGGTGTGGATGAAAATTGTGTAAAAATAATTTTTAGAATATTTTTTGAAAGGTAAATTAAAAAATTATTTAGACGAATTTATGTTTGAGAGGTGTTTTAAGAGTTAAATGAGACAAAAATACAAAATAAGTGTTAGGCAAACAAGCCCTTAGATTTCGGCCTTTGTGGGTTGATTAGAATGTAGGAAAGAAGCCTGCAAGCTGGCTAATTATGTACTTCTTCCGTTCCAATAAAATAGTCAGTCGGAAAGATAAAGCAAGAAGTTAGTATACAAGGGATGAATTTGAATTGATATCATAAATTCATTATTACCTTCTCAAAAACGATGTCTATATATTTATCATTTTTCAATTGTCTAATCATTGTTTACTCCTTTTTAAAGAAAAGAAAAATGATACGCCGGTCTGAAATTATAATGACATGGTGAAAATTACTCCAAGATTTTACTTCATTTGTCTCGAAATAAATACTTAAGATGGATTTGTATTTTTAATTCAAATTGTACTGAACAAATGAAAATCCAAACTGGATTATTTTGGAAAAGTGAAAATACTACTTATTTGGATGATTCAATATTTCTTTTAATCATTCTTTCTTTAAACAACATACTAGACCAATTAAGTTAAATAAATAAATAGAGTTTACATTTCCAATCCATTACCCTACAAATTCGTTCTTAAGAAACTGAATATGTTGGACTGGATAACTAGAGCGCACTTCACTACAATATGTTTTTTAGATTGAAAAGAATCAACCGGCCCAAATTGCATTCAATATGTTATATCCTCTTTGTCGGCCCAGACTTATTTTGCAAAGGTCACACTCACACAGTAGATATTCCTCCTCTTCAGTTTTCACCCATGTTTGGAGAGGGAACAAAAATTATAAAAATAGAAACAGCTCCAAATCCGTTAGTTGAATTCATACATGCATAATAGAGTTCCTCCAAGCAAAAGCAGAAAACCTAAACCAACAAATTCGACCCCTAAATGAAAGCATGTTTAAACCGAAGACTATAAACAGTGGGTGTTTCTCTTGTTTCAGGTCCCATCTTCATTCATAGCCATGGGAACCTCCTCTTCAGTAACCTCCTCCGTAGTTTGAGTTTCCTCCTCCGTAACCTCCTCCGTAGCCGTTACCTCCTCCAAAGTTGTTTCTAGGAGCCGATGATCTCTCTTGGGCGATACTCACGCGAATATTCCTTCCGTCCAAGGCCTGTGTAAGTGAAGTCATTTAGTAGTGCTTCTGCAACGAAAATAAGCCTGCTTAAACATATCTCAAATAAATTCTCACCTGGCCATCCATGGCAGACATAGCTGAGTTGGCCATTTCGGAGCTGCTGAAGCTCACAAATCCGAAACCCCTTGATCTCCCAGTATCTCTGTCAGTGATGACCCTAGCTGAGAAGACAAAATCATATCTTGTGTGAGAAGAGATAAAAGAGTAAATTATACATAGCTCTCAGTGCTGAAACTTCCACTATTAAAGGGCTTTGATGAATATAAGACAATGGATGTAACGAGGCATCAAACATGTAGCACATATACAAGTGTAAAAGATACAATATACATGTTCAAGTAAATAAATTGCCCAACACGAGCGGGAGATGATAATAAGCAGCCTCAAACTTATCAGCTGACAAATCTGTGCAAGTACTAACCACTTGATAAACAACTCTAAAACATAACAGTCTGGCAAGCTTACGGAAATGCATCATGAATAAAACAACAAAAACGATTTTCCAAGATGTCAGGAATAAAAGATAAGAGATTCTTTGGAAGAGAACAATTGAATGGAAGAACTAAGTTTGAATGTATGTCTAAACTCATAAAATAACCATGAAACCAAAGGCAGGGGAGCAATTTATGAAATCAAGATAAGTAGACGCTAAACCAGTCTTTCCAAATTCCAAGAATTTCCTCTGAAAAGTGACCAAAAACTCAAAAATTGTATTCTCAACAATGGACCTTCAAAAATAATTGTATGAAACAACCACAAACAAAGCCCAGACTTCGAAACAAAACAATAATGCAAGATACATTAGTGCAAGTGGTTTCCATTTGGAGATTGGGGTGAGAGGGAATTTTTTGCAACCAAAAATAAATAGAATATAGGTCCATTGCCCAAAAGTACAGATTGACATTCGAATTTTCACATAAGAACTTGCTTAGGATTCTGTCCATATAGCATAGAAGGGAAAAATACTCACCCTCAACTACCTCACCAAAGCCTGAAAACGCATCTTTCAATGCGCCATCATCAGTTCCCCATGAAAGGCCTACATGAATAACAAGTGATAAGTTAATCAAAATACGCCGCTTGACAATTTTCATTAGTAATAATACAACAAAAAAGACACGAGTATTACCCCCAACAAAGAGCTTGGAGGACATGCAGCGTATGGAGTTAAGCATGGACGACATAGGAACAGGAGCAATTGATGCACTAGCTCTGGAGCTCTGACTGATAAGACTTCCAACTTTGTTGAACAATGCCATCTCTACTGGATTTACCAAGAAATTTGAAACAGAAAGATAAGTTTCATACACCATTAAAGATAATGTTATTAAAATCCAAAAGAGATCTATTAAGTAAATACGCAGGTATCATACTATTGCTGTCAAGCCAAAATTACAAGTGAGTATGTTCTTAAGCATGGCTTATATTTTTCATGGGAACCAACAGAAACTAGATTCCGAAGAAGCCAATTAGAAAACTACACAAATAAAAGAACCCAAGTTCTCTACCTGGGGCAGTTCCAACAATATTCTTTTGGGAAGTAAAAGAAATTTTACATTTAGTGTCCATTTAAACACATCAAACAAAACAAAAAAAAGGCAGAAAAAATCCTTCAAAAGAATCTAATCATCAGCATTGAACATAGATTTATAGGCGACAGAACTGTCAAAGAACCAAATACATAAAACTAGCAAACTTGTCAGAAAAATTATTAGGCAACCTTCCAGCATGCACATTTCAATTCGAACTAAAAGCAACAAATCATCAAACTTCTAAGAAGGTTCAAAAGAAAAAGCTTTCCAGTTCTACAGAAATGCACTGTATGATCTAATTTGTTCAAAGTGCATTTTTTTCTTAGGGAATGGGTTGTCTGCAAGATATCTATGGAATATCCTAAATCGAGCCCTCAATTAACTACTTCACAAAGAGCCAAAGACTATTTTGACACTAATTTCCATCCAAAATGATGTAAAATTGCAGAAAACAACGACCTTTACCTGAATAGATTCAGTCTCCCGAAAAAAGAAAAAGAAAGACAGCATAGATTGAATACATCAAACACAGAACAGAGCAACCCAGAAGTACAAACACAACCCAAGAACAGAAAATCACGAAAAGATTCTTCCTTTAACAAATTGGATCTAACTGAAACTGTGAATCAACTGACAGAACCCTTCAATAAACAAAACCCCGTCAAGTAAATGTTTTTGAATCATGTTCAGGGATCATCAATACCGAATCAGAGTCATCCAAAAATACAAATAGCAATCAAAAAAGAAAAAACAAAACCATATAGAATACCTGAGAAGGAAAAAAGGAGAGATCTTTCTTTGGGGTTTAAGGAGAAGGGAAGAAGTGAAATCGAGAGAGCGGCTAGGGTTTAAGCCACTCTTTTAAAGTCTTCGAGTTTGCAAATAAGGGAGGACAAAGCCGGTTGGGAGTCTTCCTTAAATATAAGTATATGACCTTTTCAGAAAATATCTCACCCACATCGGCCACTACGGTGATAAATAAATTATTACCCCTGAATTTTTTTATTTTTTATTTTTTAATTTTACTCTTGAAAAGTGCAAAATATCTCATCACATCAGCAGCAATTAAAATATCTCATCACACTTGATTACGATGATTTGCTCCCATTACATTTTACTGATTATTACAACGAGAGTAAATTTATTCATCGGTTTATAGATTACTATCCCAAAACAAAGGACATACACTTTCTTCAGTTTAATTTTTTTTTTTAAGAAAGAAAAAGCTCCTTTCATCCAAAAAAACATTATTCTACTTGAAAAATGTAAAATTTTTTATTATTTCTGATACAATTTACAAATTTATAATTTACGATATGAACTATATATATAGTAACTATAGTTATAAATTATTACAAAGACCATCGTTTTATTACCATTCCACCACACCTATTACAGTGTGTTAGGGTTTAGTAAATATGATTTAATTATCTACTTACCTAAGTTACTAGAGGTAGATTAGTTTTCAAGATTTTAATGATCACTAGGCCCTATATTGGGGTGACTAGTATGTTGATAACAAATCCCATTCATTGATCTTTCCTTCTGATGATGCTTGGTTTCACTGATCTTCAATCCTTTTTGATTCATTATTCTGATACTTCCTCCTGAACTGAGAGCTGTTCTATCAGTTTTTGGAGAGCTATTCTTCTGTAATTCCTTGCTCTTTACTGGACTATTCATCACCTCCTTTCCTTGCTTTTTTCGTGCCTGTGGTTTAGACACATTTGCCTTAGTGCCTTTTTTCACTTTAGCTTCATTTTCCTTCTTTTGTTGCCAAGCTTTTTCAACTGGTTTCGTACATTCTTCAGTTTCATGCCCAAATCCCTTGCAACTTTTGCATTTGACTGGTTTTCATTCATATTTCACAGCTTGATCTTGCAAAAATCCATGCTCATCCGTAAACCAAACAACCTCAGTGAGCTTTTCTTTGATGTCAACTTCAACTAACACCCTTGCAAAAGATGACCTCAACTTTTGACTAGTCATGTCATCCATTTCAATTGGATTACCAATCATACTAGCTAGTCTGTTGAGTGTTGTAACATTCCAATACCTTAGCTGAAGTTTTGGGAATTGAATCCATATTGGTACTTTCTGTACCTCATCCATTTTGATATCTTCCTTTACAGACCAATTTTTGACTATCAATGGCTTTCCATCAAAATGATATACATGATGCTTTAAGATCTCATCCTTTACTGTCAAAGACTTAAAACGCACCATATACATTCCATTTTCAAGCAGAAGCACTTTATCAACCCCAAACTTGCCCCAATTTCTTCGGATAAAACCATTGAAAATAGTAAAAGGGGGGTTAGCACCCAGGACATAGCAAAGAAAAGATGAGCTCCAGTACTCAATTTCCGACTGAATTTCATCAATCGTGACCATTCCAATTGCTCTTTGATTCACAATTTCAGGCTCAATAAACCTCAGAGATTTCTCAGCACCTTTAAGAATTTTTGGATCAAATTGATTCCATACATTCTTTATGTTGTTATTCACATTGCCCTGTACTATCTTATTCCCCAATCTCTTTTCCGAATCCCCCATAGCCACAATTTTTTGCTCATATATCGATTCAAACAAAGAACTTGAACTTGAAGCAACATTTAAGGCTATACTTGGGGCTTCCAGGCAAGAATTACTCACATTTATTGCGCCGCTAGGGTTCTTCCCTTTACTGGATTTCAGTTGATTGGCCATGCAATCTCCACGCCAATTGATTGTTTCTTCTTCAGGCTGCTCACTAGATCCTGATGCATTATTCTCAGCTATCTTCTTTGATTTCTTTGCCATTCATACGGTTGTGCGAAATCGGTGCGGAGAACACACAGTCAACGTGTTTTCGCCCACAGAAGTAGAGAGATTGTCTCTTTTTCGAATCACCATTCTTGTATCATAGCAGGACAATTCTCCTGTTGCCATGACTAATCCTTCCGACCAAGATTCCGGCAAAGCCACTGAAACCTCTAATGTTCGTGGCTCTCAATCTGAATCCTTCGACGATGTTGTCCGCCGTAAAACCATCCCCCCGTATAACATTTATGCCAATGATGGCCCTGGCTACATCCTCAAGCGGTCCAACTCAAAGGCGAGAGCAACTTTGACGAATGGTTCTGCTCAGTCAAGGCCGCTTTGCGTGGGAAGAAGAAGTTAGGGTTTGTTGACGGGAGCACTCCAAAGCTGCCAGCATCTTCCGTTGATTATGACGATTGGTAGACGATCAATTCGCTCATCTGCTCGTGGATCATGAACACCATCGAGCCAAGCCTTCGCTCCACCATCACTCAACTAGATGTTGCAGCCGACTTGTGGCTGGACATTAAGGAGTGGCTCTCCCAGGTTAATGGCCCCCGTATTCAACAGCTCAAGGCTGATTTGGCCAACTTATGCAGACCGGCTTGTCCATGGCTAGCTATTACGGCCTCCTGAAGAAAATATGGGAAGAATTGGCCACCGTCGTACCCTTTCCGACGTGTTCTTGCGGCCTGTGTCAATGCAACCTTGCTGAGTGGTTGATAAATAGCTGGAGGAGGAAAAAGTTCATCAATTCCTCCTTGGTCTCGATGATTCTATATATGGGACGACTCGATCGACTTTGTTGTCCCAGGACCCGTTGCCGCAGTTGAACAAAGTTTATTCGACGCTGGTTCAAGCGGAGCGGATGCATCAGATTGATCAGACTTCGGCCAATCCAACTGGTGTTGTCAGTTTCGCGATCAAGGCTGCTGCTGGTTCAACTCCGGCGCCTGTTTCTGCGAGTCTTCTATTGCTGCAGCGGCGTCTCTTTTTTAGCCACTTGGTCGCGGCACCTTCTCTCCGCCTGCTAGTCAATTAATGTGCTCTCACTGTCATCGTCCTAATTATTACGTGATGACATGTTATTAGCTTCATGGTTACCCCGAGAACTGGCCTGATCGTTCCCGGGGTTCTTCCAAATGCGGACGGGGCCGTGGTCACGGAGGTGGACGCGGCATTGCTACTGGTGGTGTTGAATCGACGCCTGCTGCTGTGGTTAATTTTGTCCTTCACGGGGAGAAGGCTAATGCGGTTATTGGCCTCAATGACGACCGATGGCAAACGTTGATCACCTTGTTGCAATCTGCCAAAATTGGCACCTCCGAGAAACTCTCTGGTATGTGTTGGTCTTATTTTTGGATGTATGATTCCGGGGCTTCACATCATATGTCTGGCAATTTGGCTTATTTTCGGATGTTCATGACATCAATGGTGTTTCTGTTCAGCTACCTAATGGTCAACGGACTTTTGCTACTAAGGCCGGGACTGTTATACTTACCCACAAAGTGACATTATATAATGTTCTTTTTGTTCCTCAATTATTATGTCACTTGATTTCTATATCTCAGTTGTTACGAGATTCTAATTATGTTGCTCATTTCACTCTTGACATGTGTGTGATCCAGGACCGCGCTTCGAGGATGCTGATTGGAGCGAGTGAGCAATGAGAGGGGCTGTACTTTTTTAAGGCTGTGGAGACTGCTGTCGGATTATAGACTGCTACCTCTTCTTCATTTGATTTGTGGCACCAGTGACTGGGACATCCTTCTGTTAAGGTTCTCGAGTTGCTTCCTTCTGTTGGTTCTCGCAAGAATAGTGGTTTATATAATAAGGCTTGTGATGTATGTTTTTGAGCCAAACAATCTAGGGAGCATTTTCCTATTAGTACCACTAGATCTCATGCCATTTTTGATTTGATGCATTGTGATTTGTGAAGACCTTATCGTGTTCTAACTTTTTCTGGTGCTTGTTATTTTTTAACCGTGGTTGATGATTGTTCTCGTGCAACTTGGATATTTTTGTTGGTTGAAAAGACGGAGTATTTTCTACTTTGTGTGGGTTTTTTGCCGTGGTTGAGCGCCAGTTTAGTAAATGTGTCTAAAGTATTCGGAGTGACAATGGTACCGAATTTATGTGCATGTCTGGCTATTTTCTTAAGCATGGGATTTTTCATGAGACTTCCTGTGTGGTACTCCTCAACAGAATGCTCGGGTAGAAAGAAAGCATATGCATATTCTTAATGTCACTAGGGCATTGCGATTTCAGGCACAATTACCTATTGAATTTTGGGGGGAATGTGTTCTTACAGCTGGTTATTTAATCAATCGTACTCCATCTGGTGTCCTCAATGGCAAAACCCCGTATGAAAGTTTATATGGCAAAACCCTTTCTCTTCCTCATCAACGAGTATTTGGATGCCTCTGTTATGCTCATAATCCAGTCCACAAACGCGACAAATTTTCTAGTCGCAGTCAAAAATGTTTTTTTGTAGGTTATCCCTATGGGAAGACTGGTTGGAAGGTTTATGATCTTGAAACTGCTGAATTCTTTATTTTTCGAGATGTCATTTTTTCCGAGACTAAGTTTCCTTATTCATCTCCTCCGATTGCTCCTCCTCCTCCTCCTTTGGTTGAGAATCATTATTTTTTGGAAGATGATGATGATATTTCTAATGATGTTGTGGTTTCACCTTCTGATGTACATACTTCGGTTCCTCATGTTTCTGAGTCAGCTACTACGGAATCATCTCCTTCTCCCCCTACTTCAGTCGGCAGGGGAGGGAGGGGGGGTTCTTCTTCTACTGGGCAACAGGAAGAACTTCTAGGTCGTGGGCTTCGGGCCAAGTTCCGCTCTACTCGTCTCACCGATTTTGTGTCTCACACTATTGCCTTACCTAGCCCCTCTCCACACTCATCTTCTTCCTCACCTTCCTTAGGTGTATTTTATCCTATCCATAACTATGTCACTTGTGCTTCTTTCTCCTTGCAACATCATGCTTTTTTTGGCCAGTATCACTGCAGATGTGGAGCCTCAGACCTTTGCTGAAGCTGCGAAAGATGTTAGATGGCGCACTGCCATGCAGCAAGAGATTCATGCCCTTGAACAAAATCACACA